TCTATTGTTGAAAAATGAAGCTTTTAAAGCCTAAAAGCTGTGTGACTGATCCATGAAGACGATAAATATCTACTAACTGTAACTTCTCTGTATCCCTCATTTAGTAGGGTGCATGGTTCAATAAAATCGACGCCAGCGTCGAGGATTTCAAAAAGACACCCTTGCTAGCTCAACTTTGTGACTTTTTAACACTTTGCTCAACTAAACTATTCGAGAAATGAACATGCGAAACAAATTGCGCTATTTTCCTTCTGGAGGTGTCTCTTTTGATATGTAAATCAAAGCACTGTAATTGTGAGCACTGCTGGATGACGCAGAAGTCATTCGAGGAAGACTACCACCTATGGTCAGAACAGACCAAACCGAAATTTGCAAATGAAATCTTTTTAAAAAAAAACCTCCGCAACTTTCTCGCTATACTTTAAAAATTGAATTTTCATTCATTAAAGCAAATTGATGAAATTGTTGGTTTGGAATATGGCGTGACCCTTTTTCGCATTTCTATTTGCTGCGCAAAAGTTCGAAAGCGCTCTTCTCTAGGTTTTGTTCTTGGTTTTTCTTGCTAACTTTATTGTTTCAAATATTCTCGCAGAAAAATGGTTTTCCTAGGCTTCGAACTCCGTAAGAACTGTTCTTACTAACGATTTCGAGCATAAAAAATTACTTGTGAAGAGAAAAAAAAATTAAAATTATTTTTTGAATGATGACCCTTCGTTTGGTAAATAATGTTAAACTCGAAAAAAAACTGCGCGGTTTAAAAAAAATGCGTGTGTGAATGTCTACGTTAGAATATTCCTATAGCATCTAGTTATATTTTGGTGAACTGTCGCTGCAATTCACAGTGCAAATTTGGTGTTAGCATTGGTAAAATTCGTAAAAAAGTTAGGACGTGAGAATTTAGCGAATGTTGACTTTTGCATGAAAATACAGAGTTGTAAGGGAGTACTAAGACGCTGGGTGATTTGATAGAAATCCTGATATCCTGCTGTGAATCCGGCAGAATGTGAAAAGGCTTGAAATTTTTGTAAAAATATCAGTTCCGGTGCTTGGAAAAAACCTCTGCAGGAATGAAAATTTAATATCCAGAGATAGGCGACCTGTACATTTCAACTGCCGGTGCATGCTTGGTTCAACGTAAGAGTGAGGATAATTAGAACATACGTTTTGAGGAGAATCTCAACTTGTTCCTGTCGTTGTTGTGCGGCTTTTGTGACTTGGGGATGTTCAACGATCTCATTCACATCTTCAAATGGTACGGAATGTAGATTGACATTCACAAACGTCATCTAAAAATATTCAAAAGTCATTCCTTGTAACGAGTAAACACGAGATAATCTAAATAGGCAACACGTGGATAACAGATAGTTAATTGCCCAAAAGACGTAAAATTTCTCCAATTTTGATAATTAGAAGTGAAAAGGCAAAAAAATTTGACAATATCTGTAAGGCATGTTGTAAGCATTAAACTCAAAATCTTGATGTGATAAGATCGCACAAACCGAATTTTCTACTGCAAGATGGAGCTCTCTGGACTCAATGCCCTTTTGATTACATAAACACTTTCAGGTAAAAATTAGTCAAGGACAGCAAGTTTCG